TGGCTAACCACAAGGCCAATAAATCAATAGTAATCTTAGCTGTTGGATGATCTAATTTGACTATTGTACTTATTCGACCATTCGTAGTCAAATGTAATTGTCTCTCTTATCTTTATTCACAAATCTTTGTATTATTATTATTATTATTATTATTATTATTATTATTATTATTATTATTATTATTATTATTATTATTATTAGTTAAATATCATTATTAATCCCCACTATACATGATTCATTCACTTCGCATTGATCCTGTAGTGCCGTGCTTCAATAATAGTTCACTTCGATAACCTTTATTATACCAATCTTAACGGTGTATAAAATCATAAGGCAAAAGGAAGCGGCAACTACATTTATATTGATAAATGATGCAGACCAGAAAGCTGTGGGCACATGAGCAAGTGTAAGCGAGCGAAGCAAAGACGACGCATGGTGGAGATGGCTGGGAAGGCAACTCGTGAGTGAAGCAAAATTAATGCGTATTGAAGATGGCGGGGAAGCCAACTCGATATGAGCAAGCATTACTCAATATTTATAATCAGACAAAAATTAATGACAGACATATGATGAATAGGATACGAAGGGTACACATATACACTCATATAAAAATATAGTCAAGTTTAATAAGCGAATAATTAACACGATCAAAATATGACTCGTGACAGGTGAATTGGCTTGGCCAGTAACTAGAATAAAGTGCATGGGCTTAACATATAAACTGATACTGCAATCCCACCTTATTACGTCTTACTAATTTTTCACATAATTTAGTCTTCCACTTGATCGAATTGTAATTGCACTGTCATATCTCTCTCACCCTATCTGACCCATGTTTATTCTGATCACAGATATTAAATTTTCACTAGACATATATATGAGTCATATCAACATTAACAATTTTTTTCCTATTTGGTTTTACAATCCTAAATGTAAGTACTTTAAACGATGTACTTTACCCTTAACCTAACCATTTTTTCGGATTATTAATTTGGATACATAATTGTAGAACCTGAAGAGAATTTATCGAAAAGACTACTCTTCGTTCAAATATGACGGGGATCTTAAAACGATTAAAATGTTAATCGCTTATTCTTACACTTTAATAGTATTACTAAATAATATTCATTTTCATAGTTGAAAGCGTGAATCAATTTCGCACTGCTGAGGAGTCCCATAATAGGACAAAACGGCCGTCCAGTGTTTCCAAGTTTTCCATGATGGTCTAGCTTCAATTGACTCACGCTTTCAACTATGAAATATACTAAATCTCCACAAAAGCCCCTTCTGATAATTACTATTCATTTTGTTTCCTCATTATGTTAGTTAATCAATCTAAATAGTCTGAAACAGCTTAGGCTACAGTTCATTGCTTTCATAGTAAATAGATATTGTTACTCAGTGTTTTAAACCTTGCGATATATAGCAAAGTTCTACGTTCGATTTCAATAAAATAGTCTTCCAGTGATATTGAAACGTTATATGTAGTTTGTATTTGTGTGGTATAAAGCTAATTTGACTAGTTCATATTATTTTAAGAATGTCAGATATCTAAATAGAAAAACTATCCATAGCAATATTTGCACAAAATCAATTTATAGATAATTTTCATAGTTGAAATCATGAGTCGATTGAAGCTAGACCACTATCGAAAACCTGGAAGCACTGGACGGCCGTTTCGTCCTATTATGGGACTCCTCAGCAGTGTGCATCCACAATCCCGCACTCGATTGACTCATGATTTCAACTATGAAAATACTGAAATCTTCACAAAATCCCTTCTGATTTATAGATAATTAATGTGTTTTGTTTTCATCCCAATAATTAAATTTATTCATTGCTGGCGGTCCTCATTACTCTGGTTGACATGCAATGTTTACATGATCATTTTAAACAACAACAACACTACTGATTTGAATTTCAAAAGCTGAAAATAGTTAATGTCAATAGAGAAAATAAATTTTCTTTATCGTATCATTTATTATTGTACATTGTTTATCCAACAAAAACTGGATAGAACTAGAAAAGAAGGCCCAGGACAGAGTGGATTGGTGAATGCTGGTCAGCGGCCTATACTCCATCGGGAGTAACAGGAGAAAGTAAGTAAGTAAGTAAGTAAGTTGTTTACTTGAATTCTGAATTATTCTAAAGAGTACATACGTCAATCAAAACTTTGAATATCGAAAGGACAAATTTGTTTATCATAAACTAATTTGTTAATAAATTCCAACTGAGTTTTGACTTTTATTATGTGGATAACAGACATAAACGTATAAATGTAAAAGAGTATAACTGGGTAGTACAAACTACTTAATTTTCTAACGCCTTTATTATCATTTTAGCTGCAATCAATTCAATGTGATAAATCCAGTGATGAACAAATAAAATATCTTTGAAACAATTGAAACATTTAGTAAGTTTGTGTATAAACGTCATTTTAAACAGTTAACGCAAAGTAAATCATTACATCTGAAACTAGAATGTTACAAGCTTGAAATTGTAATATAGAATTTGTAGTACAATAAACTGGTCAGTTGGACAGTGACCAGTGAACGAAACAAAATAATAATGCTGATGATCATAAGGCCCTGAGTTCGAGTCCCACGTGCATAATAGTGGATGTGCAGTGGTAAGGAGTCCCATACTATTGGTAGTAAACGGTTGTCTAGTTCTTCCAGGTTTTCCATAGCGGTCTAAACTGGATCGATCCGTGATTTCAACTGCAAACTACAACAATCTCCGCAAATTTATTTATTTATTTTAACACATAAATATTGGTACAAGGAAGCACCAGATACATATGCGTCTCACAAATCTCATTTGATTTGTGTGAGGGCTGTGATACTGCCCAGGTGCCCAGACTGAAGCAGGTGGTTTTCTTAGGGGGCCACATCCCAAGTCTTTGACCTGATGGTCTGATCCACAAGGCAGTGGAGCATCGTAAGGAGATGCAGTCCCATGATAGCCGGCGACCAACGATTGACTCATACGCCATTTGTTCCATTAGGATACTGAAGCCCATGTGTACCATTGGTTTGGAATCAAAGTTTTCCAAATCCCCTAGGTGAACTCGCCGTGTCCACCAACCCGGTTAAAGCGCCGGACATTCGCTTTTCTTCCTCTCAATTTCGTAAACAACACCTCCGTCACGAGAAGATAATGAGTAGGACTTTCCTGTCAGAGGCTATATACGCGTGGCCATGTGAGAGCATTTAGAGAGGGAGGGCGGACTCTGCCCACTCTCGGCCCTACCAGGGCATTTGGGGTCTCTCCGCAAATCCTCCATAGTGATCAACAAAAATCAAAAATTCATCTGAGTTATTAGAAATGTTCGATAGAGCAAGACGAGAAAATATGGATGATAATTGGTTATTTTTAATATTCACTGATGTTTTTGATGAGTTAAACTATCTGACAAGTCATAGATGACCGGAATATTCTGTCTAGATATTTTTGTGGTGAAAAATAACTTTTTTGTAAGATGTGGTCAGTTAGTTGACTTGCGTTAGAATCTTTGAAAACGTATACTATCAGGATTTGAGACCATAAACAACCGATCATTAGAGTTGGAAGATCACACGGCCGAAATTTCTCCTAGTACTTTTTTTACTAACAGTCACGTTCATAAAAATTCAGATCTAATTGGTTCTATATCAGAAGTAATAAGCTGAATGAAAAAGTTCCATCTCAACCAGTGAGTGGTTTTCAGAATATCACAAACGAATTTGTATTTTTTTCTAGATGTAGTTCAACATTCAATCTACGATTTCCTTAGCGACTGTATTACCGTATTGTTAATATCGAGATGATAATTAGAATCTGTTAAGATGTAAAATGTTAAAAATGAAGAATAAAACGTTTGTTTAGTTGGTCTGTCTTGTTTTCATTTAGATTATCTGTGTGATATTCAAAAGTAAGCACCATAGTACCACATAGGCATTGCAACACCACAACTGATATGCAAAGCGAATCTTTCTTATATTATGAAACACCAGTAAATAATAATCAATAATTTTTCAAAGTAATTTAACCCTGAATTTCTTAATTATGTACTCATTTCAAAATTTTATCTTTCAACGTCACTATGGAGTTAATTTTTTAGTGCTACCTAATGCCAGTCTTTTCTGTTTATTCGGATGCTCTATCAAGTTATAAGTGACCAAAAGTGGTGATATATGAGGAAGTAAACTTTGAGTGAAATTATGGTTTGACATCCAACGGTTACGATTCCATACTAGTAAAATAATATCTCTTTACTTGGTATGCATATTGAACAAAAAAATTGTTATATTGTTATGCAGTAAGCCTTCGTCAATCTTTTTTTTATTTTATGTATACCAAAATCACCCTTTCATTCATGGGTGTTTTTTCATTCACTCGATCCTCTAAACTTGCAAAAACTCTTTAAGTCATGTATAAACATTACGTAACGCCCCCGTTTCTAGACAATTAACAATTCATTGCTCTAAATTGTCTATAAACATATTCAAGTTAAAAACCTGAAAGCACTAGATGGCCGTTCCGTCCTTGTATGGAGCTCCTCAGGGGTTCGCATCCACGACCCCCAGTGTAAAAATCAAACCGAGGACCTTAAATCATGCGCACGAACATTCAACCTATGAAACTCGGCTCTTTACAACTGTTGTTATTATACGATCCGTCCTACTCTGCCCCCGGACTACATTTAATTACTGCCCACCTTGCATATGTTTTGGTATTCTATCTCTGAACGGCCTCATAACTGTTCATATATATGATTGATAGTCATTGTTACTCGAACTCCTCATGCCATCAATATCGATTGCTTAATACTATATCACACCCTAATGTTACCCTTTGATACACATAGTTGTAAGAAGCTAATGAGAAACCACGAAATATAATGAATTCATAGTATTCTGGTTCTATTGTTACTCTGGCTCTATTCAAATTCGTAAAGGGAACCAATTACGTAATAATAGAATGATGAAAACAATATTTTTAAAAAAGTTCGTTTCCTTTTGACGACAATTTAATGCTGTATTATTTCTGTGCTGATAAACTTTTGAGTTGTGATAAGCCTTCACAACGTTTATATTCAATATACTCCAGTTCCTAAAAGTAAAGTAAAATGAGAGAAACAATTGCAAGTCGAAGTTCGAAACAAGTTACACAGACAACTGCATTTCCTATTGTATCATGTTACCACAAAATATCTGATTCGCAGAAAAATAGTGTGAAGTGTTTATACAGTCTATTTTTCCAATCCTTTAGGAATAAGGTAAAAGTGGATATTCAGGTAATTAAGTTCGATCAAGTGACAAACTATCTGGAGTATCTATCATTCGAAATTAAAAAAGGTTTGCAAAAAGTACCAGTCTCGTCAGATGAATGTATTCATGAGGTTCATTAGCGTACTGGTATTCAGCGTGATGTATGGAATCAATGACAGTCTAGCTAGATTAATAAATATTGATCCGTGGAAACTAGAAAAAAAACACAACTTTAGAAAGTTTTCTAAGACCTAATCATATCTGCTCACTTTCATCTTTCATTAAAACCTGAAAACCCTCAATTTTCTACTATTTATAATTATACTACCTTTCTTTTTATTTTGGTCCTCTTCAGTACCCTTAGTTTCGTCAAATTTGTACAGTAGTCAACTTCATTTATGAAAATACTGAAAAGATATGTCAAATTGTTATAGTTTCTTAGTTAGATCAGTTTATTCTCACAAGAGATTTAACACTACTTTTCTTATCGAATAGTAGTTGTAAAAAATAAGCCTAAAACATAATCTCACCTTGGCAAACAACTGATTATTTCTGACTTCTTCATTTTGTTTCTCCAAGTTCGATTTTTCCGCTTCCATAGCTTTTATTAATTCCGATTTATTCAGGATATTTTTATACAATTCTTCATTTTCTCTACATATCTTATTAACATGTTCAACAATCAACTTGTTTGAAATCTGTAGTAATAAAAAAAGACCAAATAGGATAACTAAAAAGCATTTCAATTGGAAAAACTCAACTGAATTTCACTTTCAATAATAATTCATCATTCATCAGCAAGCTGTCTTAGAATCCATCAACTTAAGTTAGAACATGAAACCATAATCAGTAGGATCAATATATTGGAAATCCAAATGTGATATTCTTTGATAACAGTAGATATTAATCAGTGGATACGTCGATTACTATCATATTTGCTGGGTGCTTAACTGACCAATCGGGGTTCCCCTGGGTGGGTTCGTATCTCATACTCGCCGCCTCTACCATCTCTGACACTTTTGTGTTAGTGGAAATGCTTAACTGGGTTATGCCTTATACTGAGACCCAAAATACAACGATGCATGGTGAAAACTGCAGACTGGTAGTGAATATTTATTTGACTTTCAAAATGAATCAAAATTAAGTATGCATATAATACACTTCCTATGCTATTGTAGAATCAGATAACCAACCAGAGTTTTATAATTTGATAGAGTAATACTTGGCATCAATCAATAATCAACTAAAAGAACACACATTTAAAATATCATGCCAATTGATTTCTACGTCGACTTAATTAAGCCTTTTTCATCTCATCATATTAATCAAACCGTATTTAGGTGGCATGAAAGTGTGCTCACTAAAAAGTTCATGAAGTTTACAATTAGTTTTATTCAGTTGAATGTGGATGGTTGAGGACTTACAACTAGAAAAAGAACCGGGGATACAGTAATGAGTTAATTTAATGCTTTGTGAAGAGAAACGAAGAATTACGAAAGACGTGATCGACATTCTCTGGGCAAACAGTATATGATGATTAGAACTGAATCAAATACTCTCAAAATGTACTTTCAAGTGAAGGGAGAAGTATCTGGCAAAGAAGTGCATGGCATAATCACACTTAAACAACCTGCAATATCTACCATGTTTGTGTAACATTTAAGGGAATATATTTGGTAAAATGAGTTTACAATATCTGATGTCTGTGATGGATTCTATAATTACTCTTCTGTTGATAAGTCTAAAAAACAAATTGGTTGTTTGAATAGGTTTTTTAATGATGAAACAAATAGCTAAACCCCAACTACATAATAATATTTGAGACCGAGCCACTGGTCAAATACAGAAATATCTATCAAGGAATTTGAAGTCGTCATTTTCTTACAATGTATTCAACCAAGTCAGTAAGACTTATCAAAGTACAAATGCCTAACTACCAATGACAATAAAAAGATGACGTAAACAATGATTTTCCACTCATACTACCTTATACTGTTAATCGCTTCTCTCGTTGTTAAATTGGTGTAACAACTTCGACTGACACGTGCTTCATGTGTGTGAGTGACATCCAATGTCATAACAAGTGGTAACTGCTCAAAAATTGATGACACGAAAGTCGATATATTATTATTTGAAGTAGAAAGAAGTGAAAAGAAATTTTAAAGGAGCCACCGGAGACAGTTGTGTAGCAAAAACTTCTAGAAACTGAAACTAGTCAAAAGTCCTAACAATTGAAGGGAGACAGGCACAAATAAACGTTACGAAGACCTATTACACTATATACATTGGTAGATATTTTATAGTACGAACGAAAATATTGGTATTTTAAAATTATCTTATCTTTGAAGCGTTACCACTAAGTGTTACTAGTCATCTAAAGAAGGGATGAACGAATGCGATCTCACTTTCCACACTATAACTTTAAAATACTTGTGATATCTAGCGACAAGATGGCTACATGTTCCAGTCACCCCAATGACTAGTTACCTGTCCCCAAAATAAGTCAACCTTTATATGCTTCTCAAAAACGTCAGAAATATTGAGGCTGAGTGACTAGAATGGCTCCACTAAAGGCCACCAAAGATCTAGAAATGTTCTCTAAAATTAAGTGAAGACAGCAAATACATCGACCAGTTTATATCAGATCATCAAAAAGATATCGGAAGATCAACAGTTGAAAGACACATACCTTTCTACTGTTTTCAGACACATTATCCAAGATAATCTTAGCTTCTTTTTCCAACTCCAAACGTTTCCGTTTAGATATCTCTTTAAGTTGTTGAAGTTTTTCTGACTGGTAATTCCGGGTAGTTTTTATTTCTTTTTCTAAACGTTCAATTTCTGCTTCTTGTTTTTGACGAACCAACTAATCAGAAACAAAATTAAACTACATTTGAAAAAAAGGTCTTTATAAACTATTTCCCTAAATATGTTCTATTCACATTTATAAACACATACGGAAACCAGGATGCACGTTTTATCAGTTTTGGCGCTCAGCTGGATGTGTATGTATCTTATTGTTGGTACTTAATCTGTGGTTATAAAAACATGGTTTTTGAAACAGATAAGATGTATTGGATTGCATACCGGGGTGTTAAGGTTACTTAGGAGCAACAAGATTAACTAAATAAAGACAAACATCAATGCCTAATTGTCAGACACCCTTTCACAACTTTTTAAACTTTCTTAAAGTTTGCAGAATCAAACAAAATTAGAAATCAGTGACTGTAGTAAAACGAAATTCCATTTCGGACGATTAAGAACAACTCTAGAATTTATTTCGCATCCAGGTATCTTATCTGTCGGCTTCCGATATACTTAAGTCTCTAGTTTCACTGTGTCGGTCCTGCTGATTTGTATATCCAAGAATGATAGTTTGTTTGGTGCCTGTTCCCACGTGAACATTGTCATCAAAGATGTTGTTGATTAGATTATGAGTGTTTTTCAGCTAGTTCTTTTCGATGATGTGTAGTCCACATAACGAATCCACATTTTTGGCTTGATCACTGGTAAGATCGATGCTTTTAGTCTCTGCATCACTAATTCTGAAATAAGTCCTGATATTATTGATCCCATTGATGTTCTTTTCGTTTCCTTGTAGATTTGGTTATTGAACTGAAAATACATTGTTCATCATAAATCGATGAATTCTAGTAAACTTCGACTTTGAAGCTTAATGAATTCTGGGAGATTTGTGTCATTGGTGAAGAGCATGGATAAATTCCCCTTGCTGGGATTGGTTCGGTTGATGTGGACAAGGCCACGATATCAAAGGATACCATCAGTTCATCGTTGTTGATTTGAATGTCTTTAATCTTATCCAGGAATTGTATGAGAGATGTGTTAAGGTGATTGCATTAATCCACTAAATGTTTCCTATTCGCGAAACATTTCTCGGGAAATTGTATGTTGGGGTTCCTGGTAGTGCTACATTTGAACAAAGTGGGATGTTTGATTTGTGTATTTTTGGCCCACTGTAGAACCTAGGGAGTAGTGATCCATTGAATTTCATCTTACATTTATTTTGCTTTTATATTTGTCCTCCTTTGACAAGCTTGCTTAAAGTGCTTGACATTTGGTCGTCTAAAATTTTGACTGGATTTCTGTTCATAGCTTTATATACTCTTTTATACTCAAGTAGACCCTCAGCTTTCCTGATATAATCTACTTTGTCCATAATCACTGTGGTACGTCTATTATCCGCTGGAACTATGATTATGGGAATAGATGTAGCAAACAAACCAACAAAACCACTTCAAGCAATCTTATGCTGAGAAAAGGATGAAATATCAAAAGAAAAGAAACCGAACATCAACTACAAAATAAGCTATTCTAATTACATGAAACTCTGCATCGGAAAAAATGAATGTCCCTCCCTTCTTCTTCGCTTGCATGGACATCAATTAGCGATCACATTTCATGACGTATCCTTGCTTATATCAGTGCATGTGGACCCCATGGAGACACTTTCGACTGGAAAAATGTTAAGATCTTGGATAGACAGAATTATATAAACACCAGGGAATCTTTAGAAGCTTGGCACTCAGGTCAATCAGCAGTCAACAAACACATCGAAATTGATCCAATCTATCAATCAATTAGGAAAATCATGAGAAAATATAAGACCAAGAATCAAGTCAAAAGGAGATACAGTCAAATAAAGGAGTATACAATGACAGGTTAGAGTTCGACAATAGCCGATCCAGATGGAGGTCGACAGGACAAGCAGTGAGTAATATGTAGAGAAATTCAAACAAGTCACTTACACCCAAAGTTTGTGCTGATGTTTTTCAAAAGAACAATGGAAGCTCCACGACCAAATCATCTGGTTCAGAGAATAAAACTACACCAGAACTGTCCGGACTAAAAGTAGGTTGAAAAAATCAGGCGTTCGCAGGCTCAATATATAAATTTCCTATATGTTGATTTGAGTTAGGTTTGCAGGTGGACATACAATGATGAAGGTATCTAGCTGTAGACTATAAATGGCGCCGTTGAAACTGACCGTCAGCAAGAAGGTGAACCCAGCATTGTCTTGAACTTAAACATCACTTAATACCTAAACTTAATCATTATAAATCAACCTTATTTTTTATACCTGGATATTTTCTATAGGTGATGTTTATATTACTACAAACGTTTTGATTCTCATCCAACTGATCCGGTCTTTTTATGAGATAATGTAAATTATCATAAATATAGCCGGTCTATATATGTGCAACGTCTTGCGTTGTCAATAATTGGGTAAATCATAGCTACGTTTCGCCTATTATGAATCTACAAACGATTTGGTTCGCATGCAAAAACAATAGAACCAACGGTAAGATTAGAAAGCTTACTTGAATATCTGCTGTTGATACCAATTTTTCTCTGGCATTCTTCAGCAGTTTTTTCTCCTGTAGTAGAACATCCTGTAATTCTACAGTACATTAAAACGAAAGATTCAGACGCACCGGACTTTCTTTTAGCGAACATAGTCAACATTTCATCTCTATCTCTCTCTAGTTCATTCACAGTAAACAAATAATAATCTTCTAACGTTACTGAATTTTTCAAACGTTTTGACTGTTTTTTCTCCAAATACGAGTTATATTCATTCTATTTTTGATAAACCTATAGTAAAAATCCTTAAATGAAAACACTACATTTTTAATTTCTTGCTCCTGGATAAAATGCTCAGTGAGCAATAATTCATTTTGTCTAACAGTCAACGTTTTCCAAGAGAATCAAACTTACATGTCTAATATTTCTTTGGAAATTGCTTCAATCTCATTACTTAAGTTAGTGTATCTAGTTTTAAAGCATTAGAGTGGATCAAGCACTACTCTTCTCGTAAAAGTTCTCCTTTATCTACGAAAATGTCATCTTCGGGTGAAGACGTTAACTCGTCTGTCATTGTGAGCAGACAAAAAAGAATTTAGAACTATTCCTTTCTTTTTCAAGCCAACTAAATCCACACGTAAAATTGAAGATATTTTCAAAAATTTCGAATGAAAATCTGCAATGGAAGGCAAATTTAAGATATAAACAAGATACCTATAGAGTGCTCAAATATTTGCATGGCTTATGCTCATATTCGATAAATATGTAACCTGTAGTACTTATGTATACAAACCAGTTAATGATAGAATGAAATAAAAATTATAAAAGAATTCAAATGGCACCCACTGGAAATGCATGAAACTAATAGTTTGCTTGAGAGTTAAAAAGTGTCTTTGATATGTGGCCTTTATTGCAACAAATAATATTTTATGCTTTTTAGTCTATGGCTACCGATACCAGTTGTGGAATCCAATATCAGACAGCCTGTAATTTACGGCAAAAAACATTTTCATGTATTTGTAAACGTTTGTGAGTTTAAACAAAACTTTCTTAAGGACATACGTATACAGCATTGAGTAGTTCGACAAAAATACCAACCGTAGTAAAAAAAGTTGTAATCCGCGGCGGCTTTCACCGTGGCAACTGCTTAATATCTAACCACTGCCGATGACCTTGTAGAAATCAACTGGTTTTTTACGTTAGCTTCCTGATATCAATTATCGTTTATTGTGAATATTCGTGAACTGAGTTGCGTTAATCTTGAAGTATGTGACAATGAATTAGGAGTTAACACGTCTTCGGTACAAATTCAAATTGATTCAGATGGTTCTAGACGGAATAGATGAGTGTTTCATTTGACAGGCTTTCGTATTTAGTAGCAGTGTATCACTGATACCTCCAGTCGAGAACCTAGGTATATTGTCGGTAAAAGAGAAAAAAGTAGAGTTGGTAAATTATGCTGAAATGCTATATGCGGTCAAGTTTTCTCCTATATTACTCATGGGAAGTCGTTTTAGAGAAAACTGAACATATGATTGTGATTGTTGTAGATCAACGTGTAATATAGTGCAAAAAAACATAAGTAGCGGAGACCGTCGTCAAACGGTTATTCTCTTCATCCATCCACCTAACTTGTGGCACGTCTTTTCACTTATTCTAGGAGGTTCCTACTAGTTTGATGAAGAGTAGGTGCCACAAAGTAGGCAGTTTTCGGATTCTGGATTTATGGTGCGTAGTTAACAAACAATATCGTTTTTGAATACAATGGAGATTGATGTAGGCTCTTACCACTCCCAAATGGTAGTTATCAACAAGTTTCAAGCATTCAGTTGGTAAACTGTGGTGTTTGAATGAACCAATTATTCCTTCTTATTGATGACTGCTTTGATATTGAATTCCAAATGCAGTGTATTCCTTCGTGATAATCGAATACATCTTGATTAAATTGGGTTATTCCTTGAATTGCTAGTTTATACTATAATTCAAATATTCTTAAGCATCACATAGTCATTCATTGCTCACTGCGTAGACGGCTGAAAGGTAATTACCATGAAAAGCATAAGATTTCTGCGTTCTATCGATCTGAGTATTGGTAAGATCACATAACGACTTGAAATTCAACATTATTTGCTTTGTACTGAACATCCAGTTCTCTGGGTAACTTCGGTGCCAAGTGAGTGTTCAATAAGATCACATAATTGTTTACTGATTACCTCCGCGAACCGTTGCGGAACAGTGTGTTGGATGCAGTCGAATCCTCGAAATTTTTATGTCTTTGTTGATTTCGATTTCTTAAGAGCCAACCTATGAATTAGGTGGACTTTCTCCAGGACGTCAGCATGTTTTAGAGTAAAAGGGTGCCCCACCCTCACAATTTCCTAATTTATCTGAGTTTCAAAGTGACCTGTGAGTTTCACCATTCTCAGACAGACAACACCTTCACCGCTAAGTATTAGAAGACCACAGCGACTCTTGTTTGTGGGTATGTGCCTAGACATAGACCTGTAGAGACATCGCTGGTCAGCTTACACTTAAGCTGCTGCTTTAGTCCAAAGGTATATCATGCCACTTTACATTTTGGTAGTGGGTCTACTTTATTGAAATCAGGTTAGAGTAGTATATGGAAGCCTATAATTTCTCCAAGACTTTGATTCTGCCTGTATTAAACGCTCTGAATTTCTTCAAGTCAGGCCGTCAACTTGAGGGGCATGCTTCTCTATCTTCTTGTGGACGTTTCCTGTTAGTCTGTTGATTATTGGTAGATTTTGGTATTGGTACATTAATCTTTGCTACCACAATAATGGACATAATCATAAAATTACAGATATGTCATGGTGTGACTACCTAACCCATAAGATATAAAATGGGAGTGAGTAAGTTGCACAGAATGACCTAGTACTTCAGGCTAGGACGTGCCATGCCGATCAACATTCTTGTGTTGACCACTTTCTCCGCGTGATAAACGTTTAGTGCAAATTTTCTCAGTTATTTTATGCTCAGCTTCAAAGATCGTGTGGTTAGAAAACGATACTACCTGTAAGTGTTTACCATTCTTGTGAGTATGTAGCGTATAAAATAAGCCTCCCCATGATCGATTGTTTCTGTATGCATCTCGTTTGTGACGGTTCGCAAGTGACCGTTCCACGTTGTATGCTGCTTTTGATTATGAGATATGAAAAATCTTAATCAGAATCAGATAGCCGGTTGGCGATTAGTCGAATTTTGAATTTCTGCTGACTTTATCTTTCCTCGTGGAGTCACCTAAATGTACAGCTAATCACATAATTACAATTTTCGCTCACCGATTTGTCATGTACCGTGTTTTGTTGATCGAGGTGGACTGACATTAGAGCACCTAATATCTAACTTTTCCGCTGTCTATTGACGATCCCATTCAGAAATACTGCTTTTATTGCTGAAAGGGACAGTCATCAATTAATGGAGCCTGAAGAACTTTAGTTAGAATGGGTCAAATTTTGTAGTTCACAGATGTGGAGAATGAATTCTTGTAAGCTGTTAAAACAATCTAGTTTGAGTTGGCCGTAAACATCGTAGTGGTGTCAAAACGTTATGGTCCAAGTATTCATTCAATTATCAATTTGTGAAGGTATTATATATGTTTATACTTTATATTGATTGTTGAAAACTTTGTGCTTGAAAACGACCACTTCGTGTTCCAACTTTCATGTTCCACGATCTCGATAAAATCTTATTAAACCACTTGTCCGGTTTATTTTACCAACAGAAATATAAGTATTCATAATCAAGAAAGTGTAAAGGACGAGGTTTCCAAGACACGCTTATTTTCACAGTAGTATAAAGGTTCATGTTACACGATAGCCGACGTCATCTTACCACGTTGTGTCTGAGAGCTTCGTCCAGACTAACACATACCAGTTCAAGCACTCCATGGACTATCATGCTGCTTTGTACTTCGGTGTTTGTTGGTGATCTCAAAGAGGAATTCCTTATATCTCAACGCTTGAAACGTCGAACTTGAGTTTGAAATGATTTTTGACTGATGACTTCAGGAAGGCTAATAAAGTTTTTTCTTTTCCTTTCCTTCTTTGAAATCAATTCGAAATTCTTGTCAATTACACAGAACCTGATTTATCATTATTTTGTTTTCCTTTTCTTTCTTCTCTCAAACATGGTAAATGTAATGCTAACATAATTGAAACTTGTGTATTATTGCATTTTTGAAGAAACCCGAAATGGTTCCTTCACAACACTTATGTACCCATAAGATGTTTGTGAATAATAATGATAATGGCTTGCTGTATTGAAATTTACTTTAGTCAGAAATGATGTACGTTTGGTTTCATTCAGATCTCCGCAATAGCGTTACAGTTTTGCTGCAGTGGCAGCCATGCAGCTGCCTTTTTTCTAAGTCACATAATGCTCCATGCTGTTAACAGAAGCTAGCATTTGTACAGCAGTCAGCAATGTTCTTGTTTTAACCATGGTTTCAGTGATCGCGCGTTTGATTTTGACTGTAATGTAGGAATTGGTAGTTCTGATAAAAATAATTTCAAATGAAACCATGTTTAGAGAAGACATAATGTGAACCATTGATGCTGCATACGTGCTGCAGTACCACAGTAATAAGAGATCCAGATAGCAAAGAAATTACATTCAAATATTGAGTCAGTAATGTGATATATTATGTCCTTTCTCTCCAGAAGGCTGCTTTACCGACAGTCCGGGACCTCCTTCTCTCTTAATATTCTCTTGTTTACTAGTAATTTTTATATATATCCCATGTTTTCAAGTGAATTAGTTTGTATGTCGCAACGAAAACGTTGATAACGTTGAGTAATTGATCCAGATAGTAGGACCTATCACACACTGGATCAATCTTAATATGATTATAGCTGTCAGATTTCTTGCTGAGTGAAAATATCACGGATGTTCAGGTCTTAATAAGGCATTTATCAGTGACACTCTCATAAACACATCTCAAAACCAATAGTTTGAAAGTATATTTGGAAGGTCACCGATATCATGAGACTCGTCTGATCTATGCAGGATATTTGTTGCCAGTCGTGATCAGATGCGGATGCCTTCAGACATAATATGTCCAGTAATATTACTGAGGTCAGGATCAACTTCGAAGACCTACAAAACTATTTACTTAGGAGACTTATTTGTCGCTACATATGTATATATACCGAAAAAGGAAGGTGAGATTTTTATCCTTTAACTAGTTGAATGTTTTAATATGGCAGAAGAATCAGGACATCATTCGATCTTATGAGGTGAAATTCAGTCCCCATTATCATTCTTACTATTCATCAGTAAACGATGTGTTAACTCCACATAACTGATGTGATGGGTGACAAGTAGCAAAATAGGAAAACCAGAGCTCGCCTTAACCCGATGCTATTAGTTCAGAAAGAGATAAATTATAACACGGAGTGAACCATATTCATCTAATAACCGTAACCAATAGGATAAAATACTAAAGAACAATATTATGTTATCAATGTTAGTCAATAGGATCTCCAGAGGCAAAACAGAAAGCCTAAATTGACCTTCAGCTGACATCTGAATGTATCCGATTCGATCTACTTCCTAACTCATTATCATGCTCGCTAAAGCGTGAGTTCCCTGCTGAAAATAAAACAAATAGATAATCCAGCGGTGAAGGGCATTTTTCTCTGAAGTCACACAATCTATTGTTTTTGAAAGTCATGTGCATATAAGTTTCGAATATTGATTAACCACTGGTTTAATTTATCCAAATTTACTGACCGGAACATTTAATATATATAACTCATAATTATTATTCTATATGTCGTATGACTAGTGATTAACAAATATGTCTCGCTCTACAGTTTTATTTCTTCGCGTCAATGAAGCAGTATTGTAGGGGCTTAGATTCGAGGTTGTTCCTTAGGCTACGTTTATCAATCACCCTAACAACCGTTATTAGGTAAATCTCAACGGAGGATGAATTCAGAAGGTAACACGACTACCGTTGATTATTGGGTAGCGCTGGTAATAAATTTACAAGCACACCATTCGAGATTATACAGAAAAGTTAATGCTCGCGAACGACCGAATGCAGGGTCAAATGGAATCGGATCGATACAATTAGTGAGACTGAAGCACATATATATAGGAAAACAAATGATTCATCGAGCAATGTTTGTCCAACTAACACTTAAGCTAGAGATAGGTGCATAGGCCGTCACATGTGACCAAGCATTCATGACAGTAATAATAATAATGCAAATAAATAAATTGTTGCTGTTTGAATAACACTGTCAAATAAGTTAATCGGAGTGCTTAACAAAATT